GTGTGTGTGTGTGTGTGTGTGTGTGTGTGTGTGTGTGTGTGTGTGTGTGTGTGTGTGTGTGTGTGTGTGTGTGTGTGTGTGTGTGTGTGTGTGTGTGTGTGTGTGTGTGTGTGTGTGTGTGTGTGTGAGTGTGTGTGTGTGTGTGCGCGTGGTCCCTGCGGGGGCAGGCCGCGGGCCAGGGAGAGCAGGAGGAGGAGGAGGAAGAGGAGGAGGAGGAGGACGAGGACGAGGACGAGGACGATGAGGAGGAGGATAAGGAGGAGGAGGATAAGGAGGAGGAGGAGGAGGCGGAGGAGGAGGAGGAGGACAAGGAGTGGTGAGGAGGGAGGAAGGGAGATGAGGAGGAAGGAGGCGAGGAGGATGGAGGAGCAGGAGGAGGAGGAGGAGGAGGAGATGGTGGAGGAAGAGGAAAGTGGATGGGGAGGAGGACGAGGACGAGGACGAGGACGAGACGAGGAGGGAGGAGGGGGGTGGAGGAGGGAGGAGGAGGAAAGGAGGAGGAGGAGGAGGAGGATGAGGAGGGGGAGGACGAGGAGGAGGAGAGGAGGAGGAGGACAAGAGGAGGATGAGGGGAGTGGAGGTGGAAGAGGTGGAGGAGGAGGAGGAGGAGGAGGAGGACGAGGAGGAGGGACGAGGACGAGGTTTACGAGGACGAGGACGAGAACGCGGAGGGGTGGAGGGGAGGAGGAGAGGGAGGAGGAGGAGGAGGACGAGGAGGAGGAGGAGGAGGTGGGGTGGAGGAGTGTTGGAACGGAGGTGGACCAAGGAGGAGGAGGAGGAGGAGAGGAGGACAAGGAGGGGGAGAGCGAGGGAGGAGGAGGAGTGAGGTGGAGGAGGAGGAGGAGGAGGAGGAGGAGGAGGAGGGGAGAGGTGGGTGGGTGATCCGCGGGCGGTGCAAGCGCGCACGGGGCCAAGAGGCCAGGGAGGGGCCCCCCGCACGCCAAGGGCCTGCGGGCGGGAGGAGTGCGTGTGCCACGGGGTGTGCGCGCCACGTCTTCGAACGTGTCGCTGCATGTCTATGTTCGGGATGATGGGCGGGGAGGAGGGAGGGGGAGAGGAGGAGGCGAGGGAGGAGGAGGAGGAGGAGGAGGAGGAGGAGGAGGAGGAGGAAGGGGAGGACACACCCCTTTTCGAGGCACCCCAAACGCCGCCCCGAAAAGGTTTGGGAGGCAGAGGAGGCGAGGGAGGAGGAGGGGGGAGAGGCAGGAGGCATGTGCGCGCCTCTTCTTCGAGCACGGCGCGCTGGGGGTCGCGGGGCGTGCGCGCGCCTCTCTTCTTCGAGCACGGCGCTGCCTCCTCGTCGGGGCGGCGGGCGAGGAGGCAGGGGACGGCGACGGAGGAGGAAGCGGGCGAGAGGCAGGCAGGAGCGCGCGCCAACAGAGTGTGCGCCCCTCGTGTGCGACAGCGGGCGCGGGCGCTACACCGTCGTCGGGGAGGTGGCTGAAGAGGCACAGGCGGCGGTGGAGGAAGAAGATATGGAGAGGCAGGAGGAGTCCTCTCGCTCCTCCTCCTTCCTCCTGCTCCTCCTCCTCCTCCTCCTGCTCCTCCTCCTCTTCCTCCTCCTCCTCCTCCTCCTCCTCCTCCCCCTCCTCCTGTATGCTACAAGGTGAGTGTGTGTGTGTGTGTGCGCGCGCCTCATTTTCGATCACTGGGTTGCAGCTTCGTGTCGCGGCCTGCTCCGGCCTGGTCTCGCAGGGGCAGGGGAGGCGAGACCGAACGAGGTGGTCTTGACAATGGAGTCGGCCCACCTCAAGACCACCATCGTGGATGGCATCATCGGGCCGAACGTCCTCTATGTTGTCAATCCGGATGGGGGACGGGATATGTCCGTGTGTTTGCGGTGTTGAGGTGGCGTGCTGCGCGGTGGAAAGAGCGGGCAGCGGGAGGATGAGTACCAAGTGCGGGAGGATATGTAAGAGGAATGATAATACGGAGGCGACGGGGGAGTAGTAGGGTTGACTTCGTGGATCGCATTCGCCCCACCATCCCGATTTCCCTCCTCTTGCTCGTGCTCCTGCTCCTGCTGCTCATGTTCCTCCTCGTGCACACCCTCCTGTCCTCTACAAGCGATGCGCAAGACTTGCACCGCCAGGAGAGTTGCTACTTCGTTAGAACAGTTCCTTCGGATAAAACAATGCACAACAATCCCGGTTCCCCCCGCTCCCTCCCTTACTGCCCCCTTCGTTCCACCTTCCCTTCGCTTCCCGTTCCCCTCTCCTCACCCGCCTTCCCTTCTATCCCTCCTTCCCCTTCTCCCTCTCCCTATCCCTGGTCTCGGCTCGAGAGCTCTGCTCAGAGCGAGCCCAGACGCCAACCGCCCCACATCAATGTTTGCCTCTCGAGACCGGACACGGCCCATCCCTGCCTCAGCGGCTCAAGCGAGCGGCATCCACGCCAGTATCTCGATTTGCTTAGCAGCCGTTCTGCCTCGACAAGCCGGCCACGAAAGTAGCTCGCAATGCGCGCGCGACCTTGGTCTGATCCACGCGGGGCCCTCGCCAAGACCAACCTGCGCGCAGAAGCGACCAGTGAGGACCAGGCCCATGAGAAGCCAGATCGGCCAAACCAGGTGCAATACCATTCTCAGGACTAGCCATCTAGCAGCATCACAGGTATAAGCGCACTAGTCCACCTACTCGGTGTTGTCAGGACCTGGGCCGAGCCAGCATGGGTCTGGCTGCGTGCCTACGTGATGCCCCATTGGAACGTCATCTCCTCTGCGCGGGTTTTGCCCCCCTCCGCGGCATCACCGAGGACACTGACCGATAGGGGCCTGGGTGCGCTGCGGAAGTGGATCTCTGGCGATTGCGGTCACCAGAGCTAACGCCCCAACCTCTGGACGCCTCTGATCGTGAATCAACCAGACGACCCTGACCTGCGCACGGCAGTTATCAACGCGACACGGGACGTGTTCAGGCCGCCATGGAGGAGTGCGGCAGCCCGCGGTGGTCGCACGCGCAGCCGTCGCCGCAGCCACAGCCCACGCCGAGGGCGGAGGGCACCAGCCCAGTTGGTCGAGTGGCGCGAGTCGACACGACACCCGCTGACGCAAGAGTGCCGCGACCGCCAGTCCCGCGCACGGTTCACTACTTGGCGTAAGACGCTGATAGGTTGCACCCCGTACCGTCCATGCACCAGATCCCGACATGTGCCTCAAAGCCCCCAAAAGCGGCCACAGTGAAAAATATGGACGAAGTCTGTCAAGCGTTTCGCTGTGGACCGCTCGGAGAGCTTCATCACGTTGACCCCGCCTTCCGCGTCGTCGACGTCGTCGAGGCTGTCGCCGAATAATAAGCCAATGGGGCCATGTGGGTCGGGGAAGATAGCGCCGCGCCACTTGGGGCCTTGCTGAACCATCGGAGCACGCGCGCCAGCACGGCTTGTTCTTCCCCGCGACGCGGGTGGAACATATCGGCCGCATCCGTCATCTGGACTCGGCCCTCTTGCCAGGGCGCGCGGGGAAAAGCAAGCGTCAGGTCACCATGCCGCGTCTACGCCGGCGCCCACCCGGTCCACGCCGCTAACTATTGCATCAAGGCAATCACCAGGCCTGAGCATCCCAGGGCTTCAGGCCCCTTTGCCATGTTCATCTACGAAGCCATCCTCGCGCCGGTCGGATATGGGGGATCTGAGGATGCTGCCGAAGGCCGACGAAGCAGCCCCTCTCCCGCCAAACAAGTTCCACCAGACTCTGATAGACTTGAGAGCCACGTTGACACGCATGCTGGACACGCGGGGGCCTTTACAGGGGCGGCGCGGACGCACGGGGGCCCGCTCTGACGAGTCTACCCCAATGAGGCAGGCGTTCAAGGCGGAGTGCCGCCGGGAACTCCCAGACCCTGCGCCAGCCCAACCCTCTTGTCCTGACTGACGAAGCGCTCATGCATACCATCCGCGCCCGACCTGCCTCTGCAACGGGCGCCCGGGACGCATGTGCCGCCAAACGTGCGGAGGCGCTGCAGGGCGGCGTCCTCTTTTGCTGGAGCCCTGAGGGCCATGCAGCGCGCGGGGGAAGGGCCCATCGACCAGCGCTTGCTTTCTGTCATGTCCGCGTGGATGCACGCGTGGGAAACACGGGCTCCCGGCAGCCGTGCGCCGCGGAGGGCTCGCTGGACTCGCCCGGCGAGCTCCGGGGCGGCGCCGCGCGCCGCCTCCGGGAGCGTCAGTGCCACGCTGGCACTACAGGTAGAGCGCGCGCGTCACTTCCAGGTGCCGCTTGCTGGGGCGGCGCCCGACAGGCAAAAGTGCTGCGACTACCGCGCCGCGGACATCTGCTTCAACCCAGCATTGCGCTCTGGGCACCCGCTGGACATCGCGGGTCAGAACGTAGTTTTGTGCTAACCACCAGGGGTGCATACGCAGGGGGGGCGCGTGCTCCAGACCCTTGGCACGTACCAGCGGCCACCGTCCAGGCAGCGCCTTATCCCTCGGCGACGTCCAATTTGCCGGCGCGTCTCAGGACCAAGCGGCAGCACCTGTATGCGCCGCGATGCTTGAGCATTACATTCGTCGACGACAGTAACTCCGCGGCACCCGCTGCCAGAGAACCACGAACCTCCCTCGACGAGACTGCTCTCGTCGACCTCATGTCACGCTCACAAATATCCAGCCTGGCAAAGTGGTCGGCTGAGCTGTCGGCGAAGAGCTTCTCCGCCAGGCGGCGGCCCTGCAGCTCAACGGACACTCTTCTCAAGCTCACCACCAAGTGAAGCTTATGAGGAGCTACATCAATGTCGCACTAATAGCAGACGACGCCAACTGGAATCTGGCGACCGCCCTGGATGTCAGGGCGCGACGGGCTGTCGCCAGATTCCCACGTTTGGGGCTCCTCCCGGATGGCACCGCGCCTCGTGGTTTTCGCGTGCGCTTCTGGCACTGACATCCAGTCACATAACACGAAAGTGCGCAACTTGTACAGAACCTCTTACGTTCGCTCCCATGTGTCCCGAGGGGCGATCCTGGATTTCACAGTGAGCGCTGTGCGCTCTGGTCGCCCCTGGACGTTCTTTCGGGCTGGGCGCCGTCGCGCAGATGGGGAAGCCCTGCTAGGGCGGCGGAGATTGGCGCGGAGAGACACCAGCTTCAACGCCAAAGCCGCAGAACTGCACCACCACACGCAAACCTTCCCAAGAGGGTGGCCCTGTGGGCAGGGTCTGGAGAATTGGCCAACTGGAACGGAGCTGGCCAACTTTCGGAACGATGAAAGATGGCTGCGGCCTCCGCCTGTCATGTTTGCACCTACTGGTCGGCCCGTTCACGCACGTGCCCCGAGCGTCGCAGAGGATTTGCCCCCCGTGGCGGATACCCACCAACAGACATGATTTGGGAGATTTCGCCATGGAAAAAAACAAGGCCTGGACCCCTTCGCCAACGCAGGGTTGCAAAGCACCAAATTCGATGCCGAATGCGCCGCTGCTTGGCAGCTCGGCCTGCCCTGCAACGACCTGCGCGGCGGTGTCACCCAGTCCGCGCGGGCATCTCGCCCGATCCTTCACCGCTGCGCAGATGGTTCAACCGAGAAGAGTGAGCCCAAGAGCACGCGGCCTGGGAATGCCCATGCTGGGGGTGGGAAAGGGCCGCCCTGAAAACCATGATTACAGGTCAACAGTGGAGAGACCTCCCGCCGCGCGCGAGAGACATTGCGGGCTGCTCGAAGAGCGCCCCCATCTGCTGGACTTCCAGGCCACCCCTGCGCAGGGCGAGCTCCCACAGCTCATCCCGCGGCCCACTCGCGAGGATCCCAGAGACGATCTGTTTGAGGAATGTGCGGGCAACGCGGGGCCCGGTGGGCATGCGCGGACACGGGCGGCGCCTGCGCCCGACAGGGTCACCTGGTCTTTGCCGTGGCGGGCTTGGGGGTTTACCGCGGGCTGGGCCACCCGCCACGCCAATCTGCTCGGGTGCGCGGCTTGGCCCGGCCCGCGCCACGGGCGGAAATTCTCGCTATTCTTCACTTGGTGGCAACTGCGGCCTGTCCACATCTTCGTCGACAGCCATGCTTAACAGGGAATCAGCAGACCGTCGCCTATAGTATCGAGATGTCTGAGATCGGTCTGCCACCAGAGCTAGAATTGAGCACTCTGCAATATTTGGTAAGATATAATATATTTTCCTGTACTAAATTCATAGGCTGCTCCTCATCCTCCTTCCCCTCTTTCTTTCTTCTCTCTCTCTTTCTCCTCCTCCTCCTACCCCTCCTCGTTTTCCTTCTTCTTCTCCTTTTCCTCCTCACTCCTTCTTCTCCTCCACGTCCTCCTCATGAAACCGCGCCCTCGCGCGCGCGGAATGCGAGATTGCCGCGCCCGCATCCCATTCATGTATATCGCAAGGAAGCTCTACGAGTTCCCGGCGGTAATCAAGATTGACGGTTTACCGCCAGCTCCCAGTCTTCGTCGACAGCCATGCCATTGTTGACGGGCCCAGGAACCTTCTCAATGGGAAATGACCGCGAGGCACTGGGCCAGGTGGACCTTTGGCGACACATTCACAGCGTGATGTAAGCCAAACCGGACATGTTCAAGGTTCAGAATACCGAAACCCACTTTCAACAACCACGCCGATGAACTCGCCACAGCTGGAACACGCCTACGCACTCTGCAGCAAGATCTCATCGACGCAGCCAAATGGCGACACAATTCCGCGGCGTCTCTGCAAAGCACCGCCGCCGCGACTTACGATCGGCATGGCTGCGTTCTTCCCCTGCCGGACCGACGCGCGGGTTACCATAGGGCCGATTTCAGCAAGATAAGCCCAATTGCACACCATAGGGCAAGGAAGTGACGAGCCACCAGGCTCACTGGCCCAGACTGGGTGACCCCGCTCAACCGCAAAGCCAACCAGGGCTTGACTCCTTTGGTGGTCTCGGCGGTCCTTGGGAAGCTCCAGCCGACGATTTCGAAGGGGAAGACCAGGACCCGCGGGCTGGGTGCGTCCTTGAAAGACGATGATGGGAACAATGCTATTCGACTAGGAGGTCAACGTTTACCGGCACGACGCTGGCGACGAAATCGCAGCCTGGTATAGGCCAAGGGTTTCAGAAAACTTGTCTCAAGTGGCGGAGGTCCACCACGACTCCGCTTCTACAGCCGTTCTTCTCGACCACCATGTCGTCTTTCCCTCCCGCCAGGGTGCGGGAAACAGGGGCCCGCCTAGAACCCTCGATGCAGTAGGCCCCGGTGGCACCCGGTGGAACTGCGACGCAGCGAACGGACCGCAGGCATGCCCTCACGCAGCACCGTGCGGACGCAAGGTGACAGCCAAATCGTGAACGCGGAGTGGTCGTCATCGTTAGGATTACGGCGCTGCAGCAGCGAGTCTGTCGTCCTGCGCAGTCCCTTAAAACCATACGCGTGGTTCACTTCTAAGTATTCGGAAGTTGTTTGATTTTTTGGGGGCCAAGATCCTTTCATTTCTAATCGTTCTATCCTGGGCCTCTTCCTGGCCACTAAGGGGGCCAGGAAGAATTAGAAACGAGCACAATTAGAAATGAACACGATTAGAAATGAACGACGTGTACAGGGACGGTGTAGCCCTCTGCTCGACGGGCCCCATCGAGTTCAGGCCGCTCGGGGTGACCTTCGGCAAGCCGCCCGTCGTGCTGCTTCTCTTGGGCTCTCGCTCCAATGGGAACCTCCAGGCGCGCACTACTGCTCACCGCTAAGGTTGTGGAACTCGATTGATGGAGAGGACGCATGCTGCCAAATTATTTCCAGATGTCTAAAACATGTTTCAAACATGCAAGAAGACATGCTTGAAACATGTTTAGGACATTGCTCCGATATGTTAAGCACAGCTTAAATTCAATGATAGGACTGTTAGGGTGTCCACTGTCGTGGCATCCACAACGCTAAGCGCCCGTACTAACAACCCCTCTCCCGTGCGCGCTGCGGAAGTAAGCGGCAACTGCTCGGCAGCCTTCGCACTGGGCCGCCGCGGGGACGGCCCCGGGTGCACTGCGGCACCCAGCCGCGCACGCCAGAGCGTGCCAGAAACCGGCGCATGTTGTCTCGGGTGTGCTCGCGGGGGCCGTGCCACGGACCCGTTTTTATTTCCAGTCGGGGTCCCTTTGAGACCGTGCCAGAGGGGGGCAGGATTTTTCCCCGGGCCTGTCCGAACTGTTGCGCCTTGCCCCCCCCTCTCCCTCCCCCCGTGCCTGTCTCCCCTCCTTTCCCCCTTCTTTCTCCGCCCTCCCTCTCCCCGTCGCTCTTCTCCGTCCTCTTTTGATCCCCGCCCCCCTTCTGCGACGGAGACGACGGGAGCGAGGAGAAGATCAACACGGATGACGTCCTGGTCATTCGCAAGCGCATGCCCGCAGCTCGGGGGAGACAGCGGCCTGCCACCGTCCTCTCTCGCCTCCTACCGCTGGGCTTGGCCGTGGCGCAGTGCGTTGGCGCTGCTGACGCGACAGAGCTCCAGACCTCTTGGCGGCTATCTTCTCTTCAGTTTGGGCCTCCAGAGGCCTGTTTCGGGCCTCGGCGCCGTCAAACAGCTGTCCAGGAGAGCAACCGACAAAAAACAGATGCGGAACAGAGGTGCAGGGTACTCCTAGGGGACGGGGGGTGGAGTCGGCGACCAGGGAAAAAAACGAGTCGTAGGAGGTGCGTGTTTTTTTTGTTGGTTTCTCTCTCTCTCTCTCTTCGGGGCCGTCCAGCTGCATCCTCGTCGCCACGGCTCCACATCGCAGAAGCCGCCAGTCAGGACACGGCATCTGAGAGAGATCCGAGGGGCTACCCCCTGCTGCCCTTCCTCGCCCTCTCTTCTCATCATCCCTCCTCGGCCTGCTCTCTATCACGGAGGCCTTCGGAGGGCCTCTGGGGGCCGCTGGAGGGCCTCGGGAGGCCTCCAGGCTGACACCAGCATCTGGCTTGGCCATCGTCCGCAGCATGGTCGAGCAAAGTCAGCTTCGTCCTTCGGGCCCCATCTGTTTCCATCCGTGCTTCGGTGTCGCAGGCCTCGCGCCAACACTCTCCTCGACCTGCCGTCACGGCATGGTCGCGCGTATTCTGTCTGTTGGCTGACTACGCGTGCCCAGCCCCTGCTACTGTGGCAGTTCCGCGCTGCAGCGGTTCATCGGTCCTCGAGCACGCATCCTGGCAGAAACGGTCAGTCAAGCCTTGCGCACACACGGCGCATCGGCAGATAAAAAATGATGGCGCCACATTGTGGAGGCAGGGAGGAGCAGGAGCAGGAGAAAAAGGAGGCAAAGTGGGGAGAGGGGAGGGAAAACAGAAAAGCCACACTCAAAGCGTGAGAACGAGGACGTGCAATTCTGGCGCAAGAAAGAGGAGCTACCGTGCCATCCAGCGTGCTCAGGCAAGGCCTATCGGAGCGATCTCGCCGCATAGATTTAGGAAGTCCAGGACTCGCGAAGGATTTGAAACGACTGAAACGACTGAAACCCTTCAGAAGCCCTCCCTCCCAGAACCTTCCGAGAAGCCTCCCCGAACCCTTCGGGGAGGGGTTTCGGAGGGTTCCGGGAAGGTTCATGTCGTTGTTTGGGGGGAAGCCCGTCCTTCGTGAACCTTGGGTTTCGCAACATAGATTTCAGCGTCGATGTGGCTCGATGGATTCAAGGTTTTTCCGCTACCTCTTCCCATGCTGTCTTAACTCAGGACCGTCCAGGGTAAAGACCGTACCGGTTTGGGTTCAAGCTGTTCGGTTCGAGCCTTGGTTTCGAGCTGATGCTGCTCAGTCGCTGCCCGCTGAACTAATTACCTATGCTCCCAATGTATAACTGGTGCGATGCCGTAATGGCATTGGACATTGTAGAGTTGCAACAGTTGGCGATTGACATCATCTAGCGGTTTTCAACACATTGGCAGTGAAGCAAATCGACGATAGTTCTTTCTCAGCGGTGCACTTATGTATGTATGCCGGAGTGTTGCAGCCTCTCAAACACATCTGTTACATTTTCTAGCACATAAACATAAGTACAAATATGTATATGCGTATGAATGGTCGGTTGCATCAGCCAAAGAAGATTGTCGACTAAATCAGACTCTCTTTCATTCTCCTCCCTCTTCAAAGTCTCCGTTCCTTCCCACCAGAAATCGGCACGCGCTTTCTGACCACCCAGGATGCTGGTGATCGTGCCGTGGCCGAGAGCTCCCTTCCCAGAGTGCCCAAGGCAAATTGGACGCAGCATCAATCACCGAACGCGTTCCATTACAGTTGAGACCCATGCCAAGAACTACTCTGCTTGTCTCCAGGGAGCCCTGGGTTTCTTGGGTTTTGATGGTTTTGCGATGGAGAGCGTGACGTTCCCGCACCAAAGAAATCCATGGACGTCCTGGGGTCTCAGGGTTGGGTTTCTTGTTCACGCTTTCCTGTGGACAAGCCTCCACTGTACTCGCAAAGTGCCTACTCGCAAACGTCCGAAAAACAAACGCCTGCCTCGATGTAATGGATCGCACTTCCACCTCTCAGCGGATCCAGGCCATTTGCGAACAGCTACTCTGCGAGAGTCGTGGAACGCGCTTGCGCGCTTGCCTGGTCAAGACGACTCACCTCCTCGTCCTCTTCGTCGTCCTCCTCCTCCTCCTCGTCGTCGCCGTCCTCCTCCTCCTCCTTCCCGTCCTCCTCCTCCTCCTCCTCCTCCTCATCATCATCATCCCCCTCATCCTCCTCCTGCTCCTCCTCCTCCTCCTCCTCCTCCTCCTCCTCTCTGAAGTTGCTGGCGCTCCTCCTCCATCTCCTCCCCCTCCTACTTCTCCTCCTCCTCCATCTCCTCCTCCCTCTCTCCTCCTCTCCTCCTCCTCCTCCTCCTCCCTCCTCTCCTCCTCCTCCTCCTCCTCCTCCTCCTCCTCTCCTCCTCCTCCTCCCCCTCCTCCTCCTCCTCCTCCTCCTCCCCCTGCCCCTCCTCCTCCTCCAGACACCACCAGACGCCGAGATCGCCGACACATGCGTGTCAGACACCAGCCTGCCTCTCTGCGGTGAATCGTGAGTTTCTGTGTGCAGCCGGACCGAGGTATCAGATCGAGGTCGGTTCGGGGAGGGTGCCCTAGTGTTCTTCGCGCTTGTTGGGTGCTCTTGCGCAACCTGGGGACGATGCCCTTGGATGTTCTGTGTATTTTGGCAGGCGGAGGGTCTCGTGTTGTTGAAGGGCGTTATTCTGTACTGGGTCCGACTGCATAGAAGATGGTGTGCTTGCGGGCGAGCGGGGAACAAGCGGGAGGCGGTGGCAACCAGCCCCTCCCAGTCCCATGCTGGCATCAGCCAACTTCTCCTCGACGTCCTCCCGGGACATCCCGCGGGGTCCCTGGAGGTCGTGAGCTCTCGAGAGGAGCCCCCTCGAAGCAAGCGAGAAGCCTGCGAGGAAGGCGGCCACGCCGTGAACCGTCCAGGGGCCAGGAAGAGCGGGCGGCTGGCCGAGGCGAGGCTCGAGCAGGACTCGAGGAGCGTCGGGGGCTGCACGCGGGCGGCAGCAGGCCTCGCTGGGCGCGGAGGAGCGGAGGGCCGACGGCCGAACGCGGCCTCGGGGACGTCCGTAGGCATCGCCAGCACTACGGTGGGTTTGGATGCTTTTGCGATGGGGAGCGTGGCGTTCCCGCACCCAAGAAATGCATGGACGTCCTGGGGTGGAGGAGGAGGAGGAGGAGGAGGAGGAGGAGGAGGAGGAGGAGGAGGAGGAGGAGGGGGAGGAGGAGGAGGAGGAGGAGGCGGAGGAGGCGGAGGAGGAGGATGTGGGGGAGGAGGAGGAGGAGGAGGAGGAGAAGGAGAGAGGAGGAGGAGGAGGAGGAGGAGGAGGGGGAGGAGGAGGAGGAGGAGGATGCTTTTGCGATGGACGTCCTGGGGTCTCAGGGTTCGGTTTCTCGTGGAAGCTTTCCTGTGGACCGGCCTCCACTGTAGTGGCCGTCCTGTCTTTCTTCTGCGCCTGCAAGGCGCGACGGTAGCCCCGGAATTGTGCAGGTCCCTCCCCCCCCGTCCTCTCAGGAGGAGGGTGGAGCAGCGTTCCCGGCAGCGAAAGATTCATGATTATTTTTCTCCCGCGTCCGCGCGGCTACGGAGTTGCGGCGGTTCAGATTTTGCTGCCTGCTGTGATTCGTGCGATTTCGGACCGACGTAGCTCTGGCGATCTTGGCCCGCTCATGCATGTATTGTTCTTGCTCTGACGGCTTCTTAAACATAGTTCTGGGACTCGCTTGGCGGGATCCAGGCCCTGGGCTGGGAGGCCGGTTGGCCGGACGCAGGCATATGACGCTCGGTCGTGCTGAATTGTTGTTACATGGTGCTCGCTCGCACAAGGTGACGTTGCATCTTCGGGGGATCTCGCCTGCCCCAACAATTGGTCTCGTTTCTTGTGCCCGACGCGGGCTCGATGCGGACGCGACTCGGATTTGGCGTGGGTTCGGCGCGGATTCGGCACGGATCCGACGAGTCCGACGTGTATTCGACACGGACTCGACGCGGATAGGGTCGCGACGGGACAGGCAAAGGGCCCCCGAGGATGCAACAGCAACACGAGCTCGCGACCGACGAGCATACGCAACGAGCTGCCTCGGTGGCAGCTCCCCTCGGACGGGGGGAGCGGGCCGGCAGGGGGAATCCCGGCCAGGCAGGAGCAGGATCCTGGAGGAGCCTCTTAAGGCAGGGCTCGGGCTAAGCGGTGCTCGGGCAACTTCGTGGACCGTTCTCGTCTTGAGTTCGTCATCGCAACACGGACAGCGAAGACGGCACGAGGGAAGGCGAAGACAGCACGAAAACGAGAAACATTGCTCGCATCGAGCCCCGCCCTCAGGGATAGCACAGGGGTCTGGGCACTGAACCGAGTCCTGAGGCGCTGGGGCCTCGGAAGCGCAGGACGCGAGAATGGCCCCTGCCTGCCACGGACAGCAGGGCTCGTGTCGGGTCCTCCGATTCGATTCGGTTCGATTTCGATGGCTTCCGATGCCGATCCGATTCGACCTGGGATTCCGACTCTGGTTCCGATGTCTTCTTCGAGGCACAGTATAGCCTGCCGACTCCTGCCGATTCGGCACCTCTCCCCACTCGGCCGCCGCTGTCCGCCGATCCGATTCCCTTCGATCGCCAATCCGACTTGCCGAGTCGATGTTGGGCCGTCCTGCGGACAGCGGCTCCAGTGGGCGAGAGCTTGGCATCGCTCGGACGTGTGCCCTGTTTTCCTCGGCGGGGACAATTGAGGCGCCTCCTGGACCATCGAGCAAGAAGCCACGCACAACACCGACAAAATGCACGGGGAGTGGACGTCCGAGCGCTGGCGAGAGAGGGGGGAGGGGGGCGGGCGGGAGCCCCGCCTCCCCAGAGCGCGCAAGAGCACGGCAGAGCACGGGGCGGGGCACCTGCTCTGTGGCCTGCTCGTGCTGGCGAGCTGGCCGGCAGGCCGCTCAAGCAGTCGGGGGTGGACAGACCTCCTACCCTGACACGTCGATTAAGGAATTGGCCGTTCTCGGTTCGCGAGAGGGCGTCGCGGCAGTCATTTTTGCGGGTCCAGGTCCGTCGGTTTCGGTCCCAGGCCGTTTTCACTAAGGGGAGGTCTACTAAAGGGAGGTTTGTCCACCGCCGAAGCAGGTGGGGGTCTGGGCACAACAGAGAACCACAACCACAGCTAAGTAGATTTTCGGGAGGGCCCATCGGGGGAGAGCCCACCGACTTCGGCACGAGCGCTCTGGTCGTGGTTGTGTGGTCTGTGTGGCCGTCCTGGGACGCAACATCGACCACAACCAGTACGAAGCTGGTTTCGGTGTTCTGACCACTGTGGGCATGCGCACGACAGCCCCCGAAGTGTGTGCTCGATGTGGTTGTGGTCGCTTGCTGTCCCCGCAGGGGGGGTGAGGTAATCGTCTTCGGGAGCCTTGAGACGGGGGTCAATACCAACGGGAGTCAGCGAGGGCGCCAGATCTTGCAGGATCCTGCAGAGCCAGGGTCGCACTGACCCGGGCTCGGGTGCAGGGTCCTGCAGGATGTGGCAGGGCCAGAGTCGCATTGACCCGGGCTTGGGCGCAGGATCCTGCAGGATCCTGCAAGGCCTGACTGACCCGGGCTTGGATTGACCCGGGTCAGCAGATCCCCGACGTTTCCGTATTCGTTGTTTTGCCGATCGGTGCCTGCTTTTGCACCCCCCTGCCCCCCCCCCTATGGAGTAGATTTTGGCTGCTTTGGGCGCATGTTTTTAGCAGGTGGAGTCTCCCCCGTATGACGCACTGTTGCAAACAAACGCATTAAGCAGAGGTCCGGAGCCAGACCCCCCCGGTCCCCCCCCCTTCCGCCCAATGTCGAAACGCCGAGGACAAGAAAACGCTCACGAGGGGATGCTCGCGGCTGCACTCACAAGTGCTTTCACCATACGAGAGAAGCCTATTGTTTCGACTACGCGTAATGAGTGGCCCTTCGCCTGAGTGGCTTTTGGTGCGGACCCACTGGGGTCCCCCCACCGCCGAGCGCGCTGCGGCAATAGTGTAGCCTCTTGCGTGCTTATGGTTGGTCCCCCCGCGACCTCCAAAAAGCCGCGCAACAGAGGTCACTCTTACCCAGGATCACTCTTGCGTGTGGCCGAACAAGTGCTTTAACCATGGGAGAGAAGCCTGGCTTTTCTGCATGCCGCGGGAAGTGGCTTCAGTGGGGCGAGGGGGGCTGGGCTGGGGGAGAGACCCGCGGAAGCAGAGAGTACGAGAAGCCTCCTATGGGGCCAAAACAGATCCGCAAAAGTCCAGGCTCCTCGATCCCATACCTCGATCCTCATCCCTCAACGTGCTTCTCCTTCCAGATCTCGGCGTCGTGATCACGTCCATACGTGAGCCCCTGGAGGCATCCGGGGCGTCTTTCTTGTGGCCACGTGGCCCAGCAAGGGTCCCCAGACCCCGAAAGTGGCTCCACCACGTGTGTGTGTGTATATATGTATATCTATTGCGAAGGCCTTACGGCCGGTGCCGCCGACCCTGAATGGCGACGACGACGACGACGACGAGCGCTCTTGGGGGCCTCTTGGGGGTAGTTTGTGGGCCTCTTGGGAAGCTCTTAGGGGCCGCTTGGAAGCCTCGTGGGGGCTTCTTGGGGCTTTCTGGGGGTCTCTTGGAGGGAGCCTGGGACGTCTTGGAGGCTTCTTGGACGGTCTTGGGGCTATCTTGGGCGTTTTCGGCCGATCTTTGGGCGACTCGGGGCCCTCTTGGGCCGTCTCGGGGGCCATCTTGGGCATTCGGATCTCATTTGGAGTGTTTTCGAGGTTTCTAGGCCGCCCGAGGAAAAACTAATCTGCCCCCCCACCCCCACCCCCCACCCCCCGGGGACCCCCACCCCACCCCCCCCGGGACCCCCCCCCCCACCCCGGGACCCCCCCCCCCCCTGGGGAAGGGATCGAAGGGAAGGGGCTTCCCTTCGACTCGATTACGACACTGCTAGATTTTTCTCTCGCTCACGAGCTTGAGAAGGAAGCTGCAGGGAAAGGGAACGACGGAGGCGACGACCGACGGAGACGACGACTCGAACAGCCAAGCCCCTCGCACACGCCGACAGGGTCGGCGGATTTATATATGGATGTAGTCAATTGCGCCTTTCTGAGGACTCCCAGTGGAGTCGAGACGTCCAGGGCGTTCGGTAGGCTGCGTTGGAGCTGGAGTGGGTGAGTGTGCTTTGACGCCCGCGAGGTAGAGGAGAGGAGGAGGAGGAGGAGAAGGAGCGGAAGTGGGAAGGAGGAGGGCGGAAGGAGGAAGGACGGAATCTAAGGGTGCAATGGTGGTTGGTGGGGTTTGTCATTGAGCTGGTTGAGGGTTTCTATATACTCGGCATCGCTCGGGCGTGTGCATCTTTCTCGGCGTGGGCCATCGAGGAGCATCTTGGATCATCGTGCGCAAGATAAGCGCACGAAACCGAAACATGCACGGGGAATGGATGTCCGAGCGATGGTGATCACGGTTATTCCTCCGCGCGAGTGGGCCTGGGTCCTCCTATTCATCTCTCCTCCCTCCTACGCGCGGCCGAGGTCCTCGCCGATGACGACGCCGGTGGCCGAGGGGACGCTGCAGCTGATGGCCGGCATGCGCGTCACCGCGAACGTCTGGGGACCGCCCCGCGGGGGCTGGGTTGCTCTGCCCAGGAATCGAGGCTCAAGCGGAGGAGGAGGAGGAGGAGGAGGAGGAGGAGGAGGAGGAGGAGGAGGAGGAGGAGGAGGAGGAGGAGGAGGAGGAGGAGGAGGAGGAGGAGGAGGGGGGGGGGAAGAGGAGGAGGAGGAGCAGGAGGAGCAGGAGGAGCAGGAGGAGCAGGAGGAGCAGGAGGAGCAGGAGGAGCAGGAAGAGCAGGAAGAGCAGGAGGAGGAGCATCTGCACTACCAGTGGCGGGCTGTTTCTCAAGCCCAGGACTTCTAGAGGGTCGAGGGCGACGCTGGGGTGTTGTGGTGTGTACGTCTTTTTCCCCGACGTCCCGGGAATGCAGCGAAAAATATATACACCGGGGTCCCGTATGCACCAGGATCCGTTCTCCAGTGCAAGTTCCAATGCAGGGCTGGAAGAAGCGTCGGTGTATACAGTCAACGCGCCTAGTAAGGACGCGCGCCTTCATCTAGGGTACCCTTGTGTCCTTGCCTCTGAGGCCCGTCCTTGCCATTATCACTGGTCGCCCGCCGCCTTAAAAAAACTCATCGTCGGCCTCCAAGGGTCTTGCGTCCTTATCACCCGTCCTTAATGCACATTTTGACTGGAGAGTTCGGTTCCTTAGCTTAAGGTTCTCGCAGGCTTCCGAAGGTTCCCTTCTGCTTTCGGCGGCGCTCCAGCCCTCGGGCTGCGCTCCGGCAGTTGCGCCTCGCCGAGGGCGCTTCTCCGGGGGCGCCCGGATCGCCCCGAGCGGCGCCGGAGAGGCCGGGCCACAGGCGACCCGCACAGTGAGGACGGGCCTGTGGACGTCGATGAATGGAGAGGGAGCATGCTGCCAACTAATTGCCAGATGTCTAAAACATGGTTCAACCATGTTTAAAGTATAACAACATGGTTGAAACACGTTCTACACATTTTAGATACATTGCTTGTTCAATGGTAGGATTGTTCGAGTGTCCATTGTCATGGCATCCACAACCCAAGAGTACCCTTGCATCCTTGCCCCCTCGGCCCATTCTTGACCACTTTCGCTGGCCGCGCCCCGCTCACAAAGAGTCGACATAATCCTCCGAGGCCCTGGCATCCTCATCGTCGGACGGGGCTAGGACGAGAATGCATCCGTTCCAGAGCGTTCCAGAACGCTCTCGGAGCGTTCCCAAACGCTGAGAAGGCTGCGGCGCCCGACGCATCCTCCAGAGCCGCGGGATGTCAGAGATTCTCGATTTGTCCGCCCCTCCAAGTCTGCCCTCGTCCTCATTATTCTTATACAGGTTGACTGTATGGCGTCCTCCCATTTTAACGTCCAACTTGGTCCTCCAATTTTATCCTCGTCCTGGCTTCGTCTTATACCGTGCGTCCCTTGGCATACGGGTGGACTGTATGGCCCGAGTAGCGTCAGCACAACGGAAGATGCTTGGTTGCTCTCGGCCTCCACGGGGGCCCTTGCTGGGCCCCCGACGGGGAGGGGGCGGTGGAGGAGGAGGAGGAGGATGAGGAGGAGGAGGAGGAGGAGGAGGAGGAGGTGGAGGGGGAGGGGGATGGGGGCGGAGGAGGGGGAGGGGGATGGAGAGGAGGAGGAGGGGGAGGAGGAGGAATAATAAAGAAGAGGAGGAGAAGGAGGAGGAGGAGGAGGAGAAGGAACAAGATGAGTATGCGAGGATCGAGACGGAGGAGGATGAGGACGTGGAGGAATGTGGAGGAGGAGGGTGCCGGAGCAGCACGAGGAGCAGTTTGGACCCTGCTCCTGCGCCGGCGCCGCCGCAGTGCCGCCGAGGACCTTCGACCCCGGGCGTGGGCAAGTTCCTGGCGCACCTCCAGGAGATGTGCGGCGCGCGGGTGGCACGGGCAGACCAGAGTCCGAGAGGAGGTGTGAGGAGGAGGAGGAGGAGGAGAGGAGGAGGAGGAGGAGGAGGAGGAGGAGGTGGAGGGGGAGGAGGAGGAGGGGGAGGAGGAGGAGTAGGGGAGGAGGAGGAGGAGGAGGAGGAGGAGAGGAGGAGGAGGAGGAGGAGGAGGAGGAGGAGGAGGAGGAGGAGGAGGAGGAGGAGGAGGGAGGAGGAGGAGGAGGAGGAGGATAGAGGTGGTGGAGGCTGGAGAAGGAGGGGGAGGAGGGGGGAGGAAAGGAGGAAGAGGAGCAGCCAAAGGACCGGACCAGGAGGGGAGAGTGGAGTCGGAAGAGGAGGAGGAGGAGGAGGGGGAGGAGGAGGAGGAGGAGGAGGAGGAGGAGGAGGAGGAGGAGGAGGAGGAGGAGGAGGAACAAGGCGCTGGAGGAGGCTCCCCTCCTCCATTCCCGCTCCTTCTCCCGTCCCTCCTCCTACCCGCCTAATCCGCGGCCCCAGTACCAGACCCCCCCCATTTCTCCTTCTCCTCCTCGTTGTCCGCCTCCTTGACGGATGCGGGACCACTTTGGGGGGCTTTGGGCGGACCAGACCAGGGGGCAAGGGACAAGCAGGTGCCTCCCTTCTCGTCCTCTCTCCTCCCCCCTCCTCCCCGCGGGTGTCGCGCGTCTTCCCGAGGGGGGCCTGCGCGTGCCGTCGCCGCGCGTCGGGTCGGTCGTCGGGCGAAGGACCGTGGGGATCGGCGGCTTCCCCGGCACCCGTCTCTGCGAGAAGGGGGGGCTTCCGCACAACGGGAAGGGAGGGGTGGAGAGTGGGAGGACGTCAGTCGGGTATAGCCAGGACCCTGGTGAAGGGGAGCCGGTTAGGGATTGGCCCCCGAAGCTCAGAATATGGCTTGAAATCACTAACCAAGGTCTGGCGCAGCTGATGCTCTTCGGGTGACGGCAACTCCGGTTATAGAGGAATGGGACGGGGGGGGGCGTCCCCCGGTACACATCACTGAACCAGGTCCCACTAAACCAGGTCCCGCCAACGCCCGAGTCAGAGGTGGCTCGGGCACACCTGCTCTCTCCTCCGACGCTGCAGTTTTTGGGACGTCGTCCCCCGAGGTTGACAGCAAGTCGGGCATGCCCCTCTTAGATCCTCCGACCCCATCTGCTCGGACCCCATCTAGGAGGCCTCTACTAGAGGAGGGATGTTCAAACAGAGTAGAGAAAAGAAATGTTTTTGGCTAGTTTCGAATACCTGTGTGTGACTGAGTCTGTCCTGCCACTCTTCTAAAACCCGCCTGTAGGATGACATGCCCGACCGAACCCCGGCATCTCAAGCCGACGTCTCCTCCCGGGCTGCCCTGGCGTTGTGGCCCTGGGGCCGAGAAGCGGCCTCCCGAGGCTGCCAAGCGACGACAGGCCAGTCGTCACGAGGTCTTACGTGGAGCCCCTGGATCGGAGGGCCGTTTTGAGTCGGGCGCGTCCCTCTGCAGGAGGAATGTTCAAGGATGGTCAAGGATCAGTCTGGGCTCGATGCTTTTGTGTTCTTCAGACTATTTGAGCATACTTTTTGTTTGACGGCTGAACATCGTTCTTTCAAAAGGCCTCCTGTAGGAGGACATGCCCGACCTAATCTCAACCCGATGTTTCCTCCAGGGCTGCTCAGACTTAGTGGTCCAGGGACCAGAAAGCGGCCTCCCGAGGCTGCCAACGACGACAAACCAGCCGTCACGAGTTCTTCTGAGCAACCCCTGGGTCTGAGGGTAGGTTGTCCTGTTCCCCTCTCCGATCGGGAGGGGAAACACACACAGACACAATGAATCGTCTATTCCCAGAAAAATATGGGAAAGTATGCAAAGTCGGGGGGGAGACGAAAACCCTAGGATTGTTGTGGATATTTCTGTAACTGTGTCCCTGGGCCCTGGGCCCCCTCAAGTTTGTCCTGTTCCCCCCTCCGGCCTCCTCCGCGAGAATCGAGGGACACAGAACGGCACAGACATACAGACTTGTGGTGGTCCGCCCGGACTTCTCGGATCGGCGCCAGACCCCCCGCCTGGCGGCGTTCCCTGCGCTCCCCTGGCGCGCGGAGCGCGCCAGGGAGGACGGCCCAGCGCCGATCGAAGAGATCCGCGCGGACCTCCAAAAGTTTGTGTTTATGCGGCTGTCTGATTCCAGGCCTCGCAGATGGGGTCAGCGCAGATGTGCTCGGAGAATCGCGCCGCATCGCCGATGCATCGACGATGCGGCTTGATGTGGAGCCCGTGCTTCCTCACGCCGACATCGCCGATGCATCGCCGACGTCGCCGATGCATCGCCGATGCATCGCCGACACACCGGCGAGGCATTGGCGATGCGGCGCGATCCCTCGACTCCGTCTACTCGGACCCCATCCAGGGGGCCTCTACTGATTCCTCCGGAGAGGTGGACCCGCACGCGAACCCGATGGTGTCCACAGTGGGCCTCTCGGCCATCGCCTCGCTTTGGTTCTCGCTCATCGCCAGGCGCAGCCCGCGCGCGAGCGAGCGCGGGGCCGCCTCGGGCGATCGCCCGCTCTCGGGGAGCAGCTTGCGCCGAGCAGGGCGGCGAGGACCGCGAGGAGGTTGTCAGCGAGGAGGAGGAGGAGGAGGAGGATGAGGAGGAGGAGGAGGAGGAGGAGTAGGAGGAGGAGGAGGAGGAGGAGGAGGAGGAGGAGGAGGAGGAGGAGGGGGGGGGGAGGAGGAGAGGGGGAGGATGAGGGAAAGGGCAGGGGCGAGAAGGAGGAGGAGGGCGAGGAGGAGGGCGATGAGGAGGGGGGCGACGGCGACGGCGAGAAGGAGGAGGAGGGGGAGGAAGGGGGGAGAGGGGCGGGCAAAGAGGATGGCGAGAGGCCCGGGCAAGGAGCCCCTGGAGGAGGTGGAGGACGACGACGGCGGCGAGGCGGACGAGGAGGACGAAGAAGGCAAGGGCGAGGGCGAGGACGAGGAGGGCAAGGAGGACGTGGAGATCGTCCCCCGCAGAGCCGGGCGCTGCAAAAGACATCTCGTGCCGACCGGCCTGGCGTCGTTTCCCAGGCCTGTGCTCGAGAGGCCCGGGTGGACCCACGGGCCAGCACAGATTGGACCTCCGCGCAAGAGCACACACCCCTGCCGACTGACACCGATGTCCTCGTCCTCGTCCTCGTCTTCCCCCTCCTCCTCCTCGTCCTCGTCCTCGTCCTCCTCCTCGTCCTCCTTCTCGTTCTCTTCCTCGTCCTCCTCCTCGTCCTCCTCCTCGTCCTCCTCCTCCTCCTCCTCCTCGTCCTCCTCCTTGGGTAGGGCCGAGGGTCAGAGAGCGCCTCCCTCTGCAGGACCACCGACACAGGACGTCAAGGTGGTCACACGCCTCGCTGGTGAAGCCGACGAAGATACGCAAACTCCAACCATCCGTTGACGTCGAAAGTTTTGGTGCGACGCCGGGTGCAGCGTACCAATTCCAGCTCGACCGAACAGGTTGGCTGCGCCCTTTGACGTCCGCTTGGGGTAGACCCGGCCCCGCAGCCCTGTTCAACACCGATGTGCCGGCAGCGCAGTTGCCTCACTACGCCCGTTTCGAAGCGCAACACGTCCCGTGTTCGAGACGTCCGTGTCAACACGTTGCGTGCTGTCTCCACGCATTGGGCCACGTTTTTCGGGTCGGGCGAAAGGGGGGGTTTGGGAAAGGGGGGGGTACGAAATCTGCTGCATGCAGCTGGTTTTGGCCCCGCCGCCGGGCCCATTCCTCATGCATGGGCGCCTCCCCGCGTCGGGAGGCGCCGGGAAAATCAGCTACGCGAGCTTATTCTCAAACCCCCCCCTTTGCTATCCCCCCCTTTCGCCCGACCCGAGAATGCATCGCGTCGGACCTGCGATGTCAGCCTGCGTGTTGCGCTCCGCATCGATGCGACGCGTGCTGCGTGCGGCGTGCCGGGGCAGCTGAGGCCGGCAGGCGCCCGCGAGCCGGCAGGGCTCCCGGGCGCCCGCGGGGCTGGCCCGGCAGCAGGCGCGGGGGCGGAGGAGCACCCGCGGCAGGCGAGCGGGGGTCAGGAGGGGAAACCACACACAGACGCAATGTCATCGTCGGTTCCCGAGAAAACAGGGGAAACTATAGGAAGTGTGGGGGGGGGGAAGACAAAAACCCAGAAAATATGAGAAGCTACAGGAAAAAACGCTATAGGAAAAACCTAGAAAATACAGGAAAATACAGGAAAATATGGGAAACTGTGGGGAATCCTTTGATTTGTGTGCCTTTATTTGTGTGTCCCAGGGCCCCCATTCAGGGGGGCAGCGTCCCAGCAGGCAGGCGGTCGGGCGGCGGCGGCAGGCAGCGCCGAGGGCCTCGGGGGGGGGGCACAGGAGCCTCGGTGGGCCCGGAAGGACGGGGCTCCTCGCGGTGAGCCGCTCGGTGGGCCCGGAAGGGCGGGGCGCTTCGCGGCGCGCCGAGGGGGGGGAGCGCGAGTCGAGAGCGAAAGAGGGGCGTGCACGAACAGGAGCACGGGGAACGGAGAATGGCACACAAGTAGTTCATCGGCGCTGGGAGCCTCGGGGGGCCCTGAAGGACGGGGCTCTTCGCGGCGAGCCGAGGGGGGGGAGTGCGAGGCAAGAGCGAAAGTCTGGACGCCCGGAATGGGTACGGAGAGAACGGGTACAGTGCCCAACAGCAGTGCCTGTTCATTTTGTCCAGGAGTCGCTGTCCACGCCGCCGCGGCCTGTGTCCATTTGAGGCAGAAGGCCGCCTGCCCAACCGCGGACGCTGTTGGTTCGGGACAACATTTGCTGTTGGGCATTGTAACCATTTTTTCCGTACCCATTTCGGGCGTCCAATGAAAGAGGGGCGTGCACGAACAGGAGCACGGGAACGGAGAATGGCACACAAATGATTCATCGGTGCTGGACCCTCCTGGCGGCGCATCTAGCGCCGCCCCTGGCGCGCTCCGCGCGCCAGGGAGGAGGGTCCAGCGCCGATCCGAAAAGTCCGCGCGGACCTCCGAGTGTTAATGTTTGTGTCATTCTTCGCTCCCCCAGTACATAGTCCACGTTGGTTTCGATGTTCGTACCACGCGGCTGGTCTCGCGGATCGGGGGGCCGTGTTCGTGTACGCGGGTGGGCGCGTGCGTCCTTCGTGAGCTCCCGAGAGACGGAGAAGGCCTTCTCAGAAGGCGGCGGGACTTCTCAGAAGCCCTCGCGCTTTCTGGGAAGCATTTTGCGCTTTCGGGAAAGGCTGAGAAGACTGCTCCGAAGGCCAAACGGGACGTCCGAGCCTTCTGAGAAGGCCCGCCCCGTCTCGCTTCCCCCCGGGGGCTCGCCGCCGAAGTTGGGCGGTTGAACTATTGGGCCCTGAGGGCTGGGGCCCCGGGGGCCAGAACCTCAAACAGTGAAGGTCGAACTTGCCAGCGTTTTTTGTTCATTGTTTGGCCGATCGGCGCGGGCTCTCGCACCCCCCCCCTCCCCCCCCATGCAGTAGATCTTGGCTGTTGTTGGCGCCTGTTTCAGGCAGGTGCAGTTCCCCTGATAATGGACACACTGTTGCAAGCAAGCGCGCTAAGCAGAGGTCTGGAGCCAGGCCCCCCCCCCCCCTTCCGCCCAATGTCGGAACGCCGCATCAGAAAACGCTCACCTTCTCATCCCTAGGGCCCCATCCCTCGGGGCCCCGTGCTTGAGCCACCGATCTCTGGCCAGAGCTGCCGCGATCGCGGCGCCGACGGCTGCGCCGGGCACCCGGCACGATGCCCAGACGATCGCTGCACGTCGTGTACACACGGGCACGCACGCGCGCGCACGCCATGCTTCTTGGCGCCGTGCGCCCGCCCAGGTTGTCGTTTTGTTATTCGGCGTTTTGCCGATCGGCGCGGGCCCTCGCGCCCCCCCCCCTTCCCCCCCCCACTCGTGGAGTAGAGTAGATCTTGGGTGTTTTTGGCGCCTGATTCAGACAGATGGAGCCTCCCCCATAATGGACGCACCTCTGCAAACAGCCGCTCCAAGCAGAAGTCCGGAGCCAGATCCCCTCCTCTCCCCCCCCCTTTCACCTAATGTCGAAACGCCGAAAAGGAAACGTTCACCGTGTTGTGTGAGTATCAGTGTTCCTATTCCCAGTTCATCCGAAAAGGGGGAACAGCTTTCCCCAAACCAAACAAATAAAATGACCGTGCGTCTGTGGGTCAGCGATGCGCCCGTCCTCTCTGTTGGATCGGGGGCGGGGGGAAGCATTAACCAGAGCAGTTTGATAGCGATTATAACCGCGGAAATATTTAATAACACATAAAATAATACTTCCTCCCTTGTTGGAGCATGTTTTTTTTAGATTCCAGCAAGTTTATTTTCATGGACGGGGGGGCTTGAACCTGAAGTAAGCCAGCCGCAAACGACTTGCACGTGCGGAAACCGCGCAAGTCGAAAGGTAATTACTTGCACGCCAGTGTTCGTCTGAAGAGGGGGGGGGGGGGCAGACGCCATCATGCAAGCAATCCTGCCTGAATCTGAGAAAAGCAGGCTCTCGCCTCCCCCCTCTGCCCGTCCACCAGTAGTTCTGCCCCCCAGGGTACACACAAGCCGTGGACGCCGCTGCAGGGCGTCGCCCTGCGCCCTCCAGGCCTCCTGGGGCCCCCTGCCGGGCTTGGCCAGCTCGTCCGGCGCGGTCGGCCAAGCCGCTCGACCCGGCGAGAGCCCCCAGCCGCCGCGGGCAGCTCCCGGGCGCCCGGAGACGACCTGAGAAATAAGACCCCCACGAGGCGTTCCAAGCGCATCGAACCCTTGGCTTTATGGTGTGGGGATGGTGCTCGGTGCTTCCGTCTTTCGGGCGTCCGAGGCCGCCACGAGGGTGGGCTCAACGCGGCCCAAGACTTTCAGAGCCCCAGCATCTGATCCCGGGTCGAGGGTTCACAGGCCCCCCCCCTCCCAGATGGGATGGGTCCCAGGGTTCCATGGGGGACGCCGACGCCGACGCCGACGACGATGCCGACGCCGACGCCGCCGCCGCCGCCGACGACGACGACGACCGCGACGGGCGGCAGACGACGGACGACGAACGACGGACGACGAATCACCCCGCACCCACCGGGGGAGGCCAGGGGGTGCACCGACATCATCCACTATGCCATGCCCATAGGGCCACGGACCACATGGGGAGGAGGGCGGACGATCCCGTTCGCGAGGTCTTCGCAAGGCTTGCGAGCCTATCCATCCAGCGAGCTGGAAACGGCCCAACGAGCCTACTAGGAGGACCCAACATGGCCCCACGAAGACCCCAAAGTCACCGAAAGCGCTCCAGACATGCTTCTGCGAAAGGCCCCCGAAATTCCCATCTACACACAAAGCAGAGTTATACAAATATAGATACACACATATACATATAACGGCGCACCGGGTCCGGGGGCCCGGGGCCGGGACCCCGACCGCAAATGTGCACCCCGGGGGGCCCGGAGGCTCGTCCGGGCTTGCCGGAGGCCTCCCCGGTCAGACAAGACGGCCCCAGGAGCGCCCAAGACGGCCCAAGAAACTTCCAAGAGGCC